CTCTGCCTGACGAAGGGGATCCTGCGTTTCTACTGAGGAGAGCTGGTCGGAGAACAACAACAATAATGTTAATAATAATAATAATATCAATAATAATAATAGTAATAATAATAATAATAATGATAATAATGAAAAAAATAATAATGATAATAAATAATAATAATGATAATGATAGTAACAATGATAATGATAATAATAATGATAATAAAATAATAATCATAAAATATCAATGATAAAAATATTGACTGATAATAATGATAACGATGTTGATGATCACAATAATGATAATGATTATAACAATAATGATAATGGTAACAAAAGTTATAGAAATAATAATATTATAGTTAATAATAATAACAATATTAATGATAATAAAAGTAATAATGATAATAATAATGATAATAATAAATAATAATAATAATAATAGATAATAATAATAATAATGATAGTAACAATAATAATGATAATAAAATAATAATCATAAAATATCAATGATAAAAATATTGACATTCATAATAATGATAACGATGTTGATGATCACAATAATGATAATGATTATAACAATAATGATAATGGTAACAAAAGTTAAAGAAATGATAACAACAAAAATAACTGTAATAATACTTACGTTGATAAGAAAATAATAATGGTGATAATAAAATTATAATAACCGTCACAGTGATAACAATGATAATGATGAAAATGTGATATCTGTCATGACAATAATATCATTAGAGTAGCAGTGTCAATAGTAGCACCACAAAAGATGATAAACACAAACAGCACAGCGCATCATTGATAAGGTTCCCGACGACGGAGATTGAACGAGGATGTGCAGGATGTGGCTCTGGTTCCAGGGCGCAGTTGACTCCTCCTGCTAGTGCCGACAGGACGTGGAAATGCTTGCCCTGTGGAGCCTCCTGCTGGGGGCTTCGGTGAGCTGCGCCTGCACCTCCGCCCTTTACGTTGGCGATGGTAACGTCGATCTGATGTTTAAGAGCTAGAATTAGATCAACAACTATATTCCCAACCTTTCAGTCTTTACAGAATATGGTCTTCCAACTTTTAAGTCATGTACCCATAATGAACAAAGGCCAAAGAGAGTTTATATGCTTGCAAATCCCTGGCTGCCATAACACGTGCCTTTGTTTTGTTCCGTCGATGCCGCCCAGACTGTGCTGTGAAGGAAAAAATCCGGTTCGAGAAGCTGCTCTTCGGATCCATCAAGTTCACCGCCCACGCGGCCTCCAACGGAAGCGTCTTCACGGCCAAGGTGGCCTGCGACAGCGAGCACTGGTACCACGACACCTTCACCGTCACACACAGTTCCGTCACGCTCCACAGGTTCCACGCATCCGGCGAGGAGAGCGTGACGTACCCTGCGCCCGAGGTGGATGAAGGCTGGCTCGAGTTCCACATCAAATTCGGCAAAACCTACGAACTGGGTGATGCTCGAGGCAGCTCATGGATCCCCGAAGGCTTTGGTTTGAAGTGCGACGTCGGAAGCATCGACGTAAGCGAAGGGACGTTCATGGCCTCCTGCCCTCAGGGAACCCCCAAGTGGGAGGTCGAGGGCGAGAGGTGCGCCCGCGTCCCCGTGCCTGCCTCTGAGGACGAGCGGAAGCTGGACTTGTCGCTGGCGTCGAGGTACTTCTTCAGTCCTGTGTTCTTCCTCGAGGAGGCACAGGTCCAGCTAGGGACGAGTGCAGGAGGATCTGTGACGGCCTCTGGGGCCAGGCTATCTCCGCTCCCGCCGTCGACGCAGCGGGTTGTGCTCTCCTTTGTGCCTGACGGAGGCAATGTGTCTGTCAAGGTCGGTACGGACTGGATCTGTGTATTTTCCTCTCATTTAGCTCCAAGATTCATAACATGTTGTATCCTTATGGGTGAAGAGCTGTTCTGTCAAGCATTTTCTTGCAGGTGTTGATGGCAGGTGAGATGTTGCATATGCTGACCCTGAGGAAAGACCCACGAGAAGTGAAGGTGTGTGGAAGAAGATCGACGAAGTTTATGCTGGTGCTGAACTTAGAGACTAAGCGAACAAAGAAAGAACCTGCAGGTAATGCCATTGAAATATCAAGATCCTGAAAGCCATAATAAGGAAACCACCTCTGTATGTTAATCATCTACTTTATTCACATCATTTTCCTAAATTCACGAAAATATAACTTATTCCAGTATTTACAGAGATAAATGCCTGTGAATAAAGTAAGTAACTTTATCTACCTCACAAAGGTCCTACCTTCAAGACGAAACAGATGATGGAGTATGTTATTGGCGGAATGGGGGCGCTAGTGGTGATGCTGGTTGCCTGCTTGGCGGTCTCTCTCTTTCGTCGATCACATGCTAACCAGGTACCGCTTATCCCATTTTGATACAGAGAGAGAGAGAGAGAAAGAGAGAGAGAGAGAGAGAGAGAGATAAAGAGAGAGAGAGAGAGAGAGAGAGAGAGAGAGAGAGAGAGTATGAATGTACGTGTGTGAATGTGTGCATCAATGTG